AGAGGACGAGCCGGGGGCGGCGGGAGACGAGAAGGTGCCGCCGCCGCACGCCGGCGGCGGAGACGGTGACGGCGAAGATACGACGGGTCAAATGGACGCGACGGGCTCCCGCCCCGAAAAGCCTCCCCCGCACGGCGACGGGAAGGACGCCCGTCTCGCGGAGGCCTCGCGCTCCGCAATGACGTCGCCGCCGCGCACGCCGCACACTCAAGACTCTTGTGCTGAAAAGTTCCCGGGACACGTTCGCCCTGAGCACTCTTCTTGGGAAAAGCGCATCCGTGGCCGGGACTCTCAGTCAGAAAAACCCGCGCGGCAATTACACACCCAAGACTCTTATTCTGAAAAGCTGCCTGAACGAATGCTCAGTCGGGACTTGTTTTCGGAAAAGCCCGCCCACCCATTGCACACCGAGGACTCTTATTCTGAAAGGCATCCCGAACAAATACACAATCGGGAGTCTTATTTTGAAAAGTTACCCGAACAAATAGCCGGTGAGAACTCTTATTCTGAAAAGCCCAGGGAACCATTCCACAGCGAGGACTCTTATTCTGAAAGGCATCCTGAACAAATACATAATTGCGACTTTTATTCTGAAAAGCCGTCAGAACCATTCGACACCGAGGAATCACCTTTTGAAAAGCTACCCGAACAAATGGATAGTGAAAACTCTGATTCTGAAAAGCCCACGGAACCATTGCACATCGACGAATCTTATTCTGAAAGGCATCCCGAACAAAAACACAATCGGGAGTCTTACTTTGAAAAGTTACCTGAGCAAATAGACGGTGACAACTCTTACTCTGAAAAGCCCATGGAACCATTACACACTGAGGACTCTTCTTCAGAAAGGCATCTAGAAGAAATACAAAATTGGGACTCTTATTTTGAAACGTTACCCGAACAAATCGACGGTGAGAATTCTTATTCTGAAAAGCCCACGGAGCAATTACACGCCCAAGACTCTTATTCTGAAAAGCTGCCTGAACGAATGCTCAGTCAGGACTCGTTTTCGGAAAAGCCCGCCCACCCATTGCATACCGAGGACTCTCCTTTTGAAAAGCTACCCGAACAAATGGACGATGAGAACTCTTATTCTGAAAAGCCCACGGAATTATTACACACCGGTGACTCTTACTTTAAAATGCATCCCGAACAAATACACAACTTTGACTTTTATTCTGAAAATCCCACGGAACCATTAAACACCGAGGATTCTTATTCTGAAAGGCATCCCGAACAAATACACAATCGGGAGTCTTATTTCGAAAAGTTACCCGAACAAATTGACGGTGAGAACTCTTATTCTGAAAAGCCCACGGAACCATTGCACACCGATGACTCTTTTTCTGAAAGGCATCCCGAACAAATACACAATCGGGAGTCTTATTTCGAAAAGTTACCCGAACAAATTGACGGTGAGAACTCTTATTCTGAAAAGCCCACGGAACCATTCCACACTGGTGACTCTGATTCTGACAGGCATCCTGAACCAATACACAATTGCGACTTTTATTTTGAAAAGTTACACGAACAAATAGACGGTGAGAACTCTTATTCTGAAAAGCCCACGGAACCATTACACACAGAGGACTCTTATTCTGAAAGGCATCCCGAACAAATACACAACCGTGACTTTTATCTTGAAAAGTTACCCGGACAAATAGACAGTGAGAACTCTTATTCTGAAAAGCCCACGGAACACTTTCACACCGGCGACTCTTATTCTGAAAGGCATCCCGAACAAATACACAATAGCGACTTTTATTCTGAAAAGCCGACGGAACCATTACACACCGAGGACTCTTATTCTGAAGAGCTGCCTGAAAAAATACACAATCAAGAGTCTTCCTTTGAAAAGTTACCCGAACAAATAGATGGTGAGAACTCTTATTCTGAAAAGCCCACAGAATCATTGCACACCGAGGACTCTTATTCTGAATGGCATCCCGAACAAATACACAATCGGGAGTCTTATTTCGAAAAGTTACCCGAACAAATAGCCGGTGAGAACTCTTATTCTGAAAAGCCCACGGAACAATTCCACACCGAGGACTCTTATTCTGAAAGGCATCCCGAACAAATGGACTCTATGGGCTCTTCTTGTCCAAATTTAACAGCAGCACACCTGCGCACCGAAGACTCTTCTTCTGAAAAGGTCCCGGCGCAAATACGCAACGAGGACTCTCATGGTGAAAACGTCGCCGAGCAAATATGCACCGAGAGCTCCCCTTTAGTGAGGCTTCCAGAACAAGTACGCAACGGGGACTTTGATGGGCGAGAGCGGGCGACCCCCCCGCACGCGGACACCCGCGACTCACGTCGCCCAAAACCTCCGCAAGAGATGCGGGCTGCCGCGCATTCTTCTTCCGAAAAGCCGCCAGAAGACAGACACCGCCCGGACTCCGATTCCGCAACGCCGACCGAACAAACGCGCGCCGAAGACTCTTCTGCCGAAAGCGCCGTCGAACGCGGGCACGGCGCCGACTCTTTTTCGGAAAACACTCGTCGCGAAAAGCCCGACGAACGCCGGCGCGCCGACGTCTCCGTTCGGGAGCGGCTTCCTAAAGAAACCGACGCGGGAGTCGAGCGGTCCCGTCCCGGCGACTCGCTCCCCCGACGCAGACACGGCGAGAAGGCTTCCCGACAGACCTGTTCCGAAGCCTTTCACGCCGACGACGAAAGGAAATCCCCGCACGCAGACTCTCCGCAAGGCCTCGCTTCCTTCCGCTCCAGCTTCGGCGGGATGCTCCTGCGCTCTGGAGTTGTCGCTTTGCCTGGTAACCGCACACGCACGCTTCCACGCAGACAAAGAGGCGCACGTTGCCTCAGCGATCAACGTCATGAGCGGAGGTGAGACGTGGGCGCGTCTCGGTTTTTTGGGTTCCCTTCCCGCAGGAAGTCGAGATCGAAACGGGCGCGCTCTCCTGACGGTGGACGCCGGGGCGGGTGCCGTGTGGTCCCACCCCGAATGCCGCGGCGGCGAGCTGCTCCGCCTGATGCGCTACTACGTCTCCACGCTCGGGTACGTCCGCCGATGATGTCGCAACCTCGGGCGTTCCCTCGGGGGGCCGCCGCGCAACCGCGCGGGCCAC